GTAAGACTCAGGATGTAAGACTTTAAATAGTACTCCAATTATCAATTTTCTGCAACTAGGCTCTAAATATTTGCTTCAGTATATGTTCTTCCATAATGGACAGAATTCACTTTTTCTGCTAGGAAGGGGTCAAAAAAACTTTCAAAGAAAAACGAAAGCCCTCCAAGGCCTTAGAGTATTCTCCCTGATCCTGTGGACACCAACCATATAGAATTCCCTTTTATGTACTTTGTTCATTTAGCTGAGTTTCATACTTCATATCTCACCTTCCCTATTCAACCTACTGTGAGCATTCTGTTTTCTGATGGAATTCAGACCGATAAAAATATAAACAGAGTAAAAATCCAGTGAGAATTATCAAGAAATATACCTAAATCCCAATAAGGAAATTGTTCTTCCTGTCACAGAGATTGTACACTTTGATTTGTGTCAGATGTTTCAAAAAACATCAGCCACTGAAAGAAAATGGAGGTTGTGACATAATTCATATATGCTATAATTAAATTATTGATTAAAGGAGCTTTTAGTGATTTGTAAAAAGAAAATTCCAATTGTTCATTACTAGTATTTAGAAATATTATTCAATTTTTAGTATGTATGACCTTGTATTGTGACAGGTTTAAACTCACTTCTTAATTCTAATAATTTTGTAAATTTCCAGATTGTATGATTTTTAACATAATGTCATCACAATTTAAGGAGTATTATTTTGTTCCAACATGTATAACTCTAATTTTCTTTTAAATTGCTTATTACACTAGCCAAAACTTCTTGTACAATGATGAATTAAAAATAGCAAAGAAGAAGACATTTCTTTCTATTTAACAGAGAGATAGCTCTCTTTCTGTTGCCATTAAGTATGGTTTGAGATGGAGTTGTCTCATAGAGGTTCTTTCCTATTAGTTTGTTCAAACACTTTAATTAGGATGAATATAACACTATGCCAAATGTCCATTCCATGTCTAACTCAGATGATCACATAATTTTATGATCACATAATTTTATATTTTAAAGCAAGTTATAAATGTGAATTACATTAATCCACATTTACATGTTAAACTTTTTAAATTCCTCACTCTTTTTTATTCCTCAAGTTCTTAAATCTCCTACTTTCATGATATATTGTATATTTTAGTCAT